ACTCCAGTCTTCGTAATACTTGCATTATTGGTAATAATAAGATGAATTTTTCTTGAATATTCTAATTTTTGTGTGTGTAGAAAACCTGAAGTAAACTTTGTACTGTATTATTGGTGGTAAAAGCAGTTGTGGCTTCAGAAGTAGCATGATACAACAACAATCGAAACTTTTTCTTCTCTAGTTCAAACTCTTTGGTGTGCTTTAAGTGCAAATGTTTTACAATTGTTATAGTTCCATAAGACTTGAAGGATTTTCCTCTTCTCATAACTAAACCATCACATAATTTACGCTTTCACATATGAGGAGCAGTGCTTAATTCAAAATTCAAAATTTTCACATTATACTATTTTCATAGTTTTACTTTTATATAAAATTTCTATAAAGATAAAGGTAAATTTCGATTAAATGCTTTAAATAAAATGATTATTATTATAATTTTTTCAATAACAAGCCCATAATTTAACAATAATAAATAATCCTGCAGAAGATTATGTAAAATATTTACCTTTACTTTGCAGATTTTTTTGCATGAGATAAGTGAAAAGTGTTTTCAGCATTCAAATAAGTTCAAAAGCATTATCAGCGTTTGAAATAAATAATTGAAAAATTAAAATGAAATAATTATTACTATTATTATTATTTTATATGTATATATATACATATATATATATATATATATATATATATATATATATATATATATATATATATATATATATATATATATATATATATTATATGTATGTATGTATGTATGTATGTATGTATGTATGTATGTATGTATGTATGTATGTATGTATGTATGTATGTATGTCTATTAGTATAGTAAATATATTATTGCTTTTAAATAAATATTTTAACGATTGTTTATAATAAAAATGTAAGATATCTTACATGTTTATTGTAAACAGTTGTTTAGTTTAAACTATTGTAAACGTTTAGTTATTGTAAATGATTATTTATTATTATTATTATTGAAAAATGCTGTAACTGGTATGAACCAGTGAGTTTTATTAGCACACTATGACAGCTGATTTGCCTGACTGCTGCTCATCCAGCAATCAAGACCGGCTTTAAAACTGTTAACTGTTTCTGAATTAACCAAATCGTTCGGCAAGCTATTCCATAAATTGGCTAATCTGTTAAAGAAAAAGTTTTCTCGAGAGCTTGCTTAGTGATTTCTTTTACATATTTAAACTGGTGACCTCTTGTTTGAATTTGTTGAAAATTAAACTTTCTTTTTGTTTCTAATTTGTTGAAACCGTTAAAGATCTTAAAAAGTTGAATCATGTCTCCTCTCTTTCTTCTATTAGTTAACGTAGTTAAGTCAAGAGCTTTTAGACGATTCTCATAGTTGATTTTCTTGAGTGATGGTATTAGTCGAGTTGCACGATGTTGAACCATTTCATTCATTATTTTAGCGTCATCAGCGTAGAGCATAGATATGTTTTTTAAGGTTTCAGGAAAGTTGTTAATAAATAGCACGAACAAAAGTGGTCCAATTACAGACCCCTGTGGCACACCGCTGATAATTTCTGCCCAAGAAGATACGTTTTCACCTAGCACAACTCTTTGTTTTCTATTTTTCAGAAAAGCTTCAATCCATTTAATTGTTAGACCAGATATGCCATAAGCTGCTAGTTTTAGTAACAGCTTTTTATGGGGCACTTTGTCAAATGCCCTAGCAAAATCCAAAAAAATAACATTAACAGGTTTACCATTTTCTAAACTGGTGGAAATAAAATCTAGTGTATCGAGTAGATTTGTTGCGCATGATTTACTTTTAACAAAACCGTGCTGCTGCTTGACTATGAGTTTATACTCATTCAGAAAAATTTTAAGTTTACATCTCATTATACCTTCCATTATTTTACAAGCAATTGAGGTGAGTGATATTGGTGGGTAGTATACTGCTAAGGTTTTTTCACCTTTTTATGTACAGAGGAGTAATATTTGCTGATCTGAATTGCTCTTGCAATTTGCTAGTTTCAAACAATTCTTTAAAAATATATGTAAGTGGAATAGCAAATGCTGATGCACATATTTTTTAAAATAGCTGAATGTAAGTTATCAACACCACTTGATTTGTTTTCTTTTAAGTTTTTTAATCTTAAAAAGATATCTTCATATTTAAAATCTTCTGTTCTTATCTGAAAGTATGGCAGTGGATCATCGTCTTCTCTCACAAATGCTGCTTGAAAGTTTTTGTTTAAAATATCCGCAACATATTTTGGATTTTGAGTAATTTCACCATCTGTTCCTTTTAATGCTTTGATTGAATCTCTGACTGCTCATTGATTGTTTATGTAGCTGTGCATAAACAATCTGTAGGTTGCTGTACGCAGGAGCTTTGGATTCTTGGCAGCTCTTTTTACCAGATCATATTCAAAGTTTTGTCAACTTTTTTGGTCTCATGCTCTACTTTTTTGAAAATCATATTGTATTCAAATTTCAGAACAGGGTCTTTCCATTTACATGAGCAATTTTTGTATCTTAAGTTTTACTTGCTTCTGATAAGAAATTTTAAATTGGCATTTACCCAGGCTGGTCTGATTTTTAGAAAGTTGATTGTCATTTTAGTAGGAGTGAAATGATTACATGCCACTTCTGTGTAATAAATAAGTTTAAACATTTCCTGAACGTTTTTATTGCTAAAGCATCTTATCCAGTCAACATTTAAAATTAGATCAGATATTTTGTCAAACTTAGATTTGGCAAACATAAATCTTTGCTTGCTTTTATAGTCACTGACTGCTTTATCAGCTAAGATAAAATCAAAACATATTATTAAATGACCTCTCTTTATATTTCCCAGAACGAACTTTGAGTCTATTAAACTAACACTTGCTGACTGAGTTGTGAAAACTAAATCTAAGGTATTTATAAGTTGATTGTCTGACAGCTGGAAAGTTGGTATGTTGGTATGCTGGTAAAAGAAATTTTCATTTAAAATATCTGAAAATTTGTGTTCAATTCCATTATCATTTGAAATTACATCTACACAGCCATTTTAATACATGGAAAATTGAAGTCACCCATGATTAGAAAATCGTTGAACTTATTTTTATCAATAAACTCACGTGCACGACTGAATACCACATGAAATTCTGACGAGTCTATAAAATTATTTGGCCTGTAGATGCAGCCAAGCAGATACTTGTCTTTACCAAAGTAAACTACTGCCCACACTTGTTCAAGTTTGCAAAGGTTTAGACCTGCATCATTTAGTTCATATGAGTCTATTAAATTGTCTATATATAAACACACTCCACCGCCTCGTCTGCCACCTAATCTGTCTTTTCTATACAAATGAAAACCCTCAACATTTACCACTGAATTGTTATTAAACCAAGTCTTAGTCACAGCAACTACATTTGGTTTGTATTGTTCGATCACAACTTTAAATTCATTTAATTTGTTATCAAGAGAGGTAGCCTTTAAATATAAACATGACAGCTTTTCAACTTCAATACCATCTGAAACCAAATCTTGAGGAAACTTATTGATTTGATTTTTTTTTAAATTTGACGATTTGATTGCCACGGATGCCATACTAAAAGGGATCATTGTCTGTTCTTGCTTGATTCATTTTATTTCTTTCAGTTCCAAGATTGAAATCTTGTAACCTTTGTGCTTCCGATAAGTCTGGACTAAGATAACAATTTTTATGTAGCTCATTCTCATTTTCTTAGCTGATCCTAAAATTTTATTCCAAAGAAAATCCTCAGTCAATTCAACTAGAATTGGGCCTGGTTTATCAGTTTTAGATCTCAACCGTCTAATAAATTTTGGTATAACATTCTCTTGATCTATAATTTTAAAAATTTCTTTTACTTTTGACTCATCGTCTTTTGATTTCATTTCAATGTTTTCATTAGCAGATTCAGCTACACCATAAATAATAACATTTTTTTCTCTTCTCTTTCTCTCTTCTAATTCATTAATGGCTACATTTGTTGCTACTAGTTGTTCTGTTGGCTTCTTTTTTTGTTTACCCTGTTTAACAATAAGAGACCAATTACAGATAGACTTGCTTGAATTAGCTGCTTTGATTATTTCTGTTTTTAAATTTTGAATGTTGCTGTCATTTTCAATCTTAGTTGTTTCTAGTTTTTGCAATCGTTCAAAGAGTTCCAAAAAAGTATGTGAAAGCTGGCTACACCAATTATGAACATCTTTAGTTGATTGCGAATGTGAACTATCACCCAGTTTTCAGCCAATTGTCTTGTTTAAGAAAATCCAAATTCATTATTATAATTGATTATTCTTTCTCTCTTGATAAGAGGGCTACCATTCTAAACAGTGGATTACCTCCTGTCTGAAACTGTAAGCTGAGAGGGCTACCACCCTAAATAACAGTGGATTACCTCTCGTAGTGAATTGAATATTGTACCTTATTAACACAAATACTTATTAACACAAATAGAACTGTTTGTTTTTTGTGTTTTTTCCGTAAAAATTTAGTAAAAATTTAAAAGAGAAAATGTAACTCATTTAGATGAATATCAAACTCATTCAAATTTTAATTACTAAAAATTCTCTAACGCAATAAAAAGAAACTATTTAAATATTTTTTTTTTCTTTTTTTTCTTCTGTATTCTCTAAATATTTCATATTTCATTATATTGTTTTTATATCTGTATAAATCAGTTTCCTTCTTGAAATATATTCTAATTATTTTGCAAATAAAAAAAATATTTTAAGTGACACACATCTATATTAAGTAAATAAGACTTTGTGATTATTGACTCCATAACACTCTTAAATTTATACCAAGAATTTTATTAATTGATGTTTAAACTAAAAGCAATTTATAACTATATTATAAAGAGTTAAAAAAAACCGGATACGTGGTTTTTCTAACTGGTTCATCAATCATAACTTAATTTTGTTGCATTCATAAAATCAAGTCCTTTTCTTTTAGAAATGTGTTTTAAAGCTCAGGACTATGTTATTACCTATTTAGCTGATGTTGTAGAGTTATTTTTATGTTGTTTTAGATGTTGATGTGAAGCCTTTCAAATGGGAATCCAATACAGTATACCCAGTTATTATATCAAATGTCAAATCACCTTGGAACTTTAATATTCAACTTGCTAATCCAGAAAACGATATTATGGAACAGTTATGGTAAATAATCATCACACAAGTCTAATGTTGTTTCTGTATTTTAATGCAAAAATGAAAAAAAACCTGAAGTTTAAATTTCATCTATATTATTATTTACTTTTGTAAAAACTTTTCTTTGCAGTCTAGAGTTCAAGAAAGACGCTGAAAATGGTTACAGAGGTGGAATTAATTATTTACCACCAAACAATGTTTTTTGCTGTGTAAAATCACCAGATGATGGTGCGTGGTACAGAGGAAAAATAGTTCAAGTATATGCAGAAGAAGATGAACATGGAGGTGTTTTAAATTTTTAAAATTTAAATACACAAATATTTATATATATTCATATATAAATATTCATAAATAAAAAAAAAAGACTCAATGATCTTAAAGATCAGAGCAATAATTATAAAAAACACAATCATTGTTATGGTAACACTCTATCATTGTTATGCTACTGGTAGTGTTTATATGTATACCTGCATGTTTTTAGGTATGAATGGATATGTGTATTTTTCTTTGTTGTTGCTTTTAGATATTGTTTTGGAAGATGTTTCAGTAAAAGTCTATTTTATTGATGAAGGAAACAGTTCCATAGTATCTTTATCCAGTTTGCGACCTCTTCACAAAAAGTTTTCAAAAATTCCAAGTCACTCTTTTCATTGTATATTAGGAGGGGTACAACCAGTTGAAGCACTTAAAAACACAAATCTTACTTTCAGTAAACATAAAACTGATTTTTGTTATTTTTATTACAATATTTAGAAATTATAATAATGCTTTTTTTTTTTGATATGCTGAAAAAGTGCAATAAAGTGGTCATTAATGTATAAAGTGATTATTTTTAAAAGTATTTTTTTTGATTATGTTTTATTTATATATACATATATTTTTATTTACATCTCCACTTTTTTTAAAACTGTTTTTAACTGAAAAGTGGTACTACCATACGCACTCCCTACTGCATTACCATACACACTCTCTACTTCACTACTTTATGCGCTTCTACGCACTGTGCTTTCCTGAGACCACTAGAGTAAATTTAAATTTACTTTAACTTGTTTTTGTTTAATTATTGGTATTGGCTTTAGAGAAGTGTTTTAAAATTATTTTTATATCAAACCTAACTATAAAACACATTTTTATGTCTACAAAAACAAATTTAAACTATAGTATAACTTATGGAGAATGGGTGGGGGATTTTGAAAGGTAATAGTTATCTAATTATTTTCATCTAGACTAATGATACTCTTAAAATATCTTCTATTTCTTAAAATGTCTTCTATTCTTTAAAGTTCAAAATTTTATTATATGATAAAAACATTTCATTTTTCAAAAATTAAAAGGGTATATACCAACAAGTTTTGTTTAAAAAATTCCAATTTTTGATGCAAAAAAAGAGATAAAGTCCAGAGTTTATAATAATGTTTATCCAATTTGGATAAACAAGTATAATATATATGGATAAGCAATTGGTCATATATTATTATTATTATTATTATTGCTATTATTATTATTATTATTATTATTATTATTATTATTATTATTATTATCATTATTATTATTAATGTAGTATATATAGATACAGGGGTGCCAAAAGCATTTTTTGGTCTTTGAGATAGCTTACGTCCAGACATGGAGCAAATTCCAAACATTTATATGTTTATACTTATGTCAAATAAGGATGCTTTCCAAAAAGTTGCGATAATTGGAGCATGGAAACAATAAAGCCCCAAAATATTAGCCCCCTCCCTGCCCCAAACGTGAGAGTAACAAGTTAATGAAATATTTTTTGTACTATTTTAACTAGACTTAATTCATCGATAAATTTTAAGTTTCATAGTATTTATTTATAGTATTTCTAGTAATAGTAATTATTTGATTACTTCAAATTTAACGATAAAATCAATAAACGTATAAAAATTTGGTTTCTTTGATATATACACTACCATTCATAATTATTCGAATGATCATTCTTGATATAAAATATCAAAGTTTTACTTATTATTGGAATAAAAACTGAAAACAATCTACCTGAATTATATGTTATCTTCTTGTTTATTAAGTTTACAAAAAAATTAATATAAAGTTCCATTAGATTAGGTTATAATTTACTTGCCTATTAATCACCATTAGCAACAATAACTGCAACCCTTGGAATAAGGAAAAATGAGGTTGGCAATAAATTGCTGACTTCAAACTGTTAGAGGTTGACATCAGGTAGGCAAAGAAAATTTGACACAAAGAGTTACCATAAAACATAAAAACAAGTTTGACAATTTTTTACCAACCTCAAACACTTTTAGGTTGGCAGTTAGGTTGGCATTGCCCAATGTTGACCCTAATTCCAAGGCCTGCAACCACCATACATATTCAATACTTGATCATTTTATAAACTCAGTAATTTATACAATATTTTGAAGAGTATGTTTTAGATTTAAGCTTTAAGTGATTTTTGACAAAAAAAAAAGGCTTACCATTAACTCAACTCTCCAAAGGTATATCATAACTTTTGTTATTATTCCTCTGTTTTTACAATGTTACATGTAGCATTCTGATCAACCCCAATTCTGATTAGCCCCATACCTTAACACAACATACGACGTCCACCATGTTTTACAGTTGATCATACATTCTACAATTTTTTTTTTCAGACAAACAATCTTCTTTTGAAACCAAAGATTTAAAACTTCAACAAGTTAGTCTACGTTTACAGCCATCGATGGTCTATATTTTACGTCATTTTGCCCACTTTATCATTTTTATTATTCTTATGATTTTTATCAAAGCAATCAAAATATGTTTTTTTCAAATTATTTAATAGTGCAAAAATAAACATTAAAAATAGTTAAAAAAAAAAGCATTTAAAAAAAAAGTTAATATTATTCGAATAATTATGAATGGTAGTGTAAATATTTAATTACTTCAAATTTAACTATAATATCAATTAATGTATAAAAATTTAAAAAAATTAGAATATGATTACTTATATAATATTATAATTGTTCATACCAAACTAACCCTTGTTTTAAGTTGTTTTGTATAATCATTGTGTTCTAAAAGGTGTTTTTATACTCGATACTTTCATACTCGATAGTGGCAACCGGAACAAGATGATATAATTGGTATTTAAACTTTTCCAGATATTTAATTGGTAGTTAAACTTTTCCAGAAGATGAAGCTGCATATTTTCTAAAAATATTTGAGAATATATATCTGATTCAGCAATAGATTTTTTAATCACCCAGCTAAAGTTTTTTATATGATTATTGAAAACTTTCCACTACATCTAACTACAGATAAAAGACATCGTATTTTGTAGTATAGAGGCTGCACTTAGAAGGTTTACTTCTAGATTTCCTAATTTATCTAAAATTATATGCAAATTGTAACCATTCGAAACAGTTCCATGGTAACCTCTAAACATAAAATGATTTATCTTAAGCCATGTATCAAATGCAGCTCCTCAATCTAAGTTGACATATTAAGTTCTAACATTGTCTTCCCTAAGTATTGTCGCATATTTTCAGCTCTGAGTTGACATATTAGGTATTGTTACAAATTAGCTTTGTCATCTACTCAGATTTAGAATATTTGAGATTTTGCAGTTTTTAAAGTAAATTTTTCAAGGTATATTCTGCTACATTTATTAGGTGCGCCAATAGTAACAAAAAGGTTATTTCCAAAAGTATTTTAAGAAAACTTGTCTCCATGTTCAATCCTATTTACAGCTTTTACAGGTTTTTTACAGCTTCACTCATACTCATAAAAATGGGAAATTACTTTACCTGATTAAAAGTTTAAAGTAGAAAAAAAGTTCAATTAAAATCTAATAAATATACTAGTATATCAATGTATGTATGTATGTATGTATGTATGTATGTATGTATGTATGTATGTATGTATGTATGTATGTATGTATGTATGTATGTATGTATGTATGTATGTATGTATTCATGCATATATGTATTTATGTATATATGTATATGCTAATAAATTTAAGTCATTATTAAATTTTTAATTAAAAAACTTTAAAAACCAAAATTAAAGATTTGAACATACCCTTTACACTTTGATCAGTTGTAACATTAAATAAGACTTAAAATATTCAAAATTTGTTTAAGGGGTCATCTATAAATTATGTCACGCAATTTTTGACATTTTTTGACCCCCATCTCCCCCCATCCTTTTCTTGTAATGCATAGTAACATTTTATTGACCCTCCATACCCCCCTCCCCAATATTATGCAACAATTTTGTAACCCCTCCCCCCCTTAAAAAATTTTTACAAACAGTTTTAAATATAATAATATCTATAATTTTCTTAGCTTCTTTGGGTTAATTAATTAGTACTTTTCAGTCTGTTTAATGTTTTTTTTTTTTACCCTAATAGTTCTGTGTAAAATTGTATAAATTAACATCGCTATCCTAAACATGATATCCATTTTAAATAGCCATTCTTCCGATATAATAATACATGTAAAATATTTTATATATATTTTATATAATGCGTAGTAATATACAATACATGCAAAAGTATTATTTTATAAATATAATTTTCTTGCAACTAGTAATGTTTGCGTGGTTAAGTGGGTTATGCTTCAGACTAGTAATTTAAGGGTTTGAGGTTTGTTTCACGGTGTTGAAATTTTTTTGTTTTTTTGTTTAATTAAACACAAGCATAAAGGTTGTTTTTTTGTTGCTGAACACTTTTGTGCATAAACTAAATAAAGTTCTGCACTTGAACCATATAAAGTCGAAGCGGAGAATGTGCACTGCACATAGACTGTTACAGCCGTAGGTGCAATGTGTTGCGCCTACGGCTGTAACAGTCCGTTAACTAAGTGTACACATCGACTGAAAAAGATTTAGGCGCAGTTGATTTTACTATCAAAATGTAGATACATCAATTGAGGTTTTGGTTTGGTCATCTTTTAAATAAAAAAAAAGTCTTCTCTAGATTTAAAAAAAAAATTGGAGACCCCCTCCCCCTCATAACAAATCGTCACAAAATTGCCAACCACTACCCCCTACTCCCTACCCCAAAGCGTGATGTAATTTATACATGAGCTCTAAGGAAACTATATATATTGAAGAAAAACAGGAAGGACATATCTTTTTAATACTTTTCTCAAAAATCTCTTGATTATTTTTTATTATCTGTTCAAGTAATTCACTAATATTTGATGATCAGTTGATTTTTTGTCTGTTAATTTGAGATATTTTCTGCACTTTTCAATGCATATCTAGTTTTGCAAGATCTCTAAATGTTTTTTGAACTTTTTCTATTTCATAAACTTTTGAAAATGAAGTTGTATTGTAGGAGTAACTTTAATAAATTTATTTGATCCTTTTCTGAAGGCAAAAAATCAACAAGCACAAATTAGATGGTCATTTTGACAAAAAACAAAAGTTTTATATGATAGCTTTAAGAAATGCAAAATGTAATACCTGTTCGTTTTATTGATATTGCAATTTTTATAGCAATTTGAATAGATGATGTAATTAAAAAATAACGTTACTTTATATATATAGATATATAGTTAATCAAATCTAAAATTTTGATGTTTAAAATTAAGTTTGGATTTAAAAAATTGATTTAAAACACTTTACTAAACCCAAAAATAATAATTAAACAAACAAAAACTACAAACCAAAATTTACCCTGTTGGTCTTATGAGAGCACAGTGTAAGGTGGAGTAAAAAAATTTTGAACACTTATCTTTTGCGTCAATACTAAGCTATGATGGTACAGCCAACAGAATTAAGAAAAATGAGGTTGGCAATAATTTTCAATTCTTTGAATTCGTTTGCATGTGTTTGAAGTCTGCAATTTTTGCCAACATCAAACACTTTTAAGTCAGCAGTTAGGTTAGCGTTACCAAATGCCGACCCTAATTTCAAGGGCTGATTGTATGAAGGATAGGGTGATGCAGGTCATTTTGTTGTGTATGTATCATACCAGTTAAAAATCAGATCTTCCGTTACTAGTAATCTTTTAAAACTCTAGATTTTAAAGATAACTTTAATTTACTATGTAGATGAATGTGAAAAGTTGTGGTCACAAGAAGCAACAAACTGGTTTAGAGAAACAGTTAAAGAGACCATCGTGGCAGCATTTTTTGGTTACCCACCAGAAAATTCATATAGTCCGCCAAACAACATAAGTCAAACAACACTGGTGTGCGATTTATATATCAATACTAACCAGAACGTAAACTGGTGGAAAAGTTGTAGTCGACCACCCATTGAATCGAATATTTCTTTTAAAATGATTGAAAAAAAACTTGCATCTGTTTGTACATATTTTTCATCAGAGCTAATTAATCAAAAATTGCTTGTTGACAAAAGTAAAGAAAAATTAATTTTCAGATTTAATTCAGTTCTCTGTAGTTTTTTTTTTACTTTATTTTTTTTCTATTTGTTGTTAATTGGTTGCTGTTAATTATTTAATATTAATTGTTTGTTGTTAATTGGTTGTTGTTAATTATTTAATATTAACTGTTTGTTGTTAATTGGTTGTTGTTAATTGTTTGTTATTAATTGTTTGTTATTAATTGTTTGTTGTTAATTGGTTATTGTAAATTGGTTATTATTAATTGGTTGTTGTTAGTTGTTTGTTGTTAATTGGTTGTTATTTGATTGTTGTTAAATATTTGTTGTTAATTAGATTTTGTTAATTTGTAGTTCTTAATTGGTTGTTAAAAATTAGTTATTGTTAATTGGATATTTTTTTAAAATAGCTGATATTGCTGCTAAAAGTACAGAGCTTCCAAAAACAACAAATAAAAAGGTAAGCCAATATACAGTTGAGATATCTGAAAATGTAACAGCTACTGGCAATAAATATATATTTAACAGTTTAAAAAAAGATGAAGATATTTCTAATAAAAATGCAACTTGCAATTTAAAAACATTTCCAGGAAAAATTAAAGACCAACAAATTGCAGTTCCAAACTCCACGGCTTCAAACTCCAATAAAAGTAACTTTTTAAAAATAAATTACTATAGTTCAAGTAAAAATGAATTAAATAATGATAAAAAAAGAGAACCCTTTGGTAAAGTAACTGAAAAAAAGAAAAAAGCAAAAGTTGAGACACCAAGTACTAGAATGATAAATAGATTTCTGGGGTCAGGTTCTAACAACGTTCAAGTAAGCATAAATGACAAAAGTTCATGTATAAGTGAATCAAATAATAGTAAAACAAAGGAACTTGACGATAAGCAAATTGAAAATGAAAAAAATAAAAGAGCTGAGTCTGCAATACACATATTTAAAACTGTGACAATAAACTCTAATAATGTAGACCAAATAAATGATAACTCAAACAACATTACCCAATTAAAAGAAAATTCAAATAACATTAATCAAGTAATAAATAAGTCAGACAACATTGTCCAACTAAAAGATAACTCCAATAAAATTGACCAAGTAAAAGGTAGTTTAAACAATGTTGACCAGATAGTTAGTTTCAATAATATTGACAATGTAGAAGATATTTCTAACAACATTGACCAAGTAAAAGAAAATAATCAAAGATATGAAGAAGTAAAAAACTCAAGTAAAAATGATTTAAGTATTTTTAAAGAAAGTGTATTTATAGAAAAAATAAATCGAAATAATCAACTTGATATTATAGCTACAAGTTGCAATAGTATTGACCAAATAAGTCACGAACATAGTTCAACAAAAAACCAAAAAAATCTTTTCACAATAGAGTTTTCAAACAATCAACCTACTGAGTCGGAAAATGTATATGTTTTTGGAAAAGAATTTCTAGAAAAAGATTTAGTAAAAACTGATGAAGATTTTATAAAAGTTTTTGTATCTCATGTTGTCAATCCGGGGAAAATTTATGTTCATGTGATCACCCCAGAAGTTTGTTTTTTTGATGAAAGGAATTTAAAGTTAAATGAATTCTACAATGCTAATTGTAAGTCCTTTTTTTTTTTTTAAATTATAAACATTTTTATTGAAGTCTGTGATTATGTTTTTTTTCACTTGAATTTAATATTAGCTTTAATGTTTACTTATCAAATGTTAGCTGATAAAATACGAAAATATAAGCTGCAAGACCCATATAGTCCAAACACAGCAGTTGTTGCTTGTTTAGAAGATAACCAATGGTATAGAGCTGTTGTGCTAACATGTTTTAAAACTGATGGTTTATATGATGTATTATGTGTTGATTTTGGATTTGTTAAAAGTGCAGCTGAAGAAAATATTCTTCCTATTGTTCAGCAGTTTTGTGAGTTTCCAATGGAAACTGTAGCTTGTTGTCTAGCAGATATACAGCCACTTCCTTGTAAGTAGTAATTTAAAAAGGCAGTTTATTAATTTTTAAAAATAGCTATTTAGATAATTTTTTCAAATATTCAAAGTTAATTTTGAGAGCTATTTTTGCAGGCAAGTGAATTTAAATTCATATATATATATATATATATATATATATATATATATATATATATATATATATATATATATATATATATATATATATATATATATATATATATATACATATATATATATATATATATATATATATATATATACATATATATATATATATATATATATATATATATATATATATATATATATATATATATATATATATATATATATATATATTATATATATGCGGTATATATCATGCGGTATATATATATATATGCGGTATATATATATATATATATATATGCGGTATATATATACCGCGGTATATATATATATATATATATATATATATATATATATATATATATATATATATATATATATATATATATATATATATATATATATGTATTATATATGCGGTATATATGTATTATACATATGCGTATTATGTATTATATATATATGTATTATACATGCGGTATATATATATATATATATATATATATTATATATGTATTATATATATGCGGTATATATCATGTGGTAGTGGTAGAGCGCTCGCTTCATAAACGAGTGGTTCCAAGTTCGATCCCCACCACGTCCCTGGTAGTACCGCGCTCAACTCGTTTCTCCGCGCAGCGGCCTTGTTCGTCAAGGTTCGTGTTTCGGATTTATAGAGTTGAGAGAGGGTTATAGCCACAAATAATTAGCCTCCTCGTCTGTAGTGGCCTTCTCGGCCTTGAGGAGGTGAATTAAAAAATATATATATATATATATATATATATATATATATATATATATATATATATATATATATATATATATATATATATATATATATATATATATATTATATTAAAATAATAATAAAATACAATTAAATTTGTAACATAACTCAGAGTTTCACGCTATATGCGATCATCAGACGTTACAAACAACCGTTACAACAACAAAAATTATATACAAAAATACAATACAGTGTTAGCTTAGATGACGTTAAAGTTGCAGATAACAAATTTGTTTTCGTAACGACATTTAGATATTAATTTATTTCCCTTATTTAATAGTTTCAAAGGTGATGTAATGATATGGTATTTTTCCATTAAACAAAGGTTACATAACTTTCTTCCAGGTTTAAAAGGTTCTGCCCTATCAATAGTTTTCCACGTAAGAATAGGATTTGAAAATCCCTTTTTTTTCATTTGCCAGATATATTTAGAAAGTTCTGTGGCATTAGCTTTACTTTCGTATTGAAAGGAGTTCATATGCTTGTACCAGCGATCTTTAAAGGTGTGCTCTGTTAAACCACTATAATTCAAACCACTATCCTGTGGTGATGTTTTAACATTGCAGACGTAAATTATATTTTTACTAAGACACATACCTTGCAAAGGACATTGTGAAGGTTGCCGGCAGTTACACGTTGGAACAATTGTGTTGGAGACATACTTTTAGATAATACTTTTTTATTGTGTGAGTTGATAATAATGGTGAAGTTTGGAAGACAACTATAACTGACTTTTAAATTATTTTTATTAAAAATTTTGCGAAACTTATGTGTCTTTGGAAAATGCTTTTCAATTAGATTTAGAAAAGTTTTTGCGACGTTGGTTTTTACATTTTGCGAAAACGGAGGATTAAACCAAATGTTTCGTGATCTTGATTTTGTTTTTGGTGGGGTAAGATTGAGATTTGCTCTACTTTTGTATTGAGCACTGTCTACCAAAAAATTACTCTTATTACTGGTATATATATATATATATATATATATATATATATATATATATATATATATATATATATATATATATATATATATATATATATATATATATATATATATATATATATATTTATATATATATATATATATATATATATATATATATTTATATATATATATATATATATATATATATATTTATATATATATATATATATATATATATATATATATATATATATATATATATATATATATATATATATATATATATATATATATATATATATATATATATATATACATATACAGGCTTGTGGAGCCGACTGTTTTTTGGACGACTCCGGCTCCTAAGAAATACCCGGCTCTGGCCTGTTTCGGCTCCCGCTCCTTAACTTTATGAACAAAAATTGCAAGTTTTAAAATTTTTTTTTAATCACATTGACCAACCCAAAACTGTACCAATTACAGCAATTAATTTTTAACCAACTCTCATGATTACAAGGTTATTGTATTACTACTATAGGGTATTACATTTGAAAAGAAATTTTTTTTGGGTAAATTAACACTTTTTTCTATATATTATTCACCCAAAACTAAAGTTTTTGTTTCAAATTTTAGTTTTAATTGTACCCATGGGAGGCAGTACTTAAAAGAGACATCTTTTGAACATCCCAAAGACGTCCAAAACGTTCAAAAGACGTCTTTCTTATGCCCCCACTGAGTCCTGAAACATTTAAAAGACGTTGAAAACACTCCAAAGATGATTAAAAGACCTCTTTTTTATGTCCCATGCCCACTGGATAAAGCATGCGATCGTTACCACTGGGTAAAGCATGAGATAAAAACAATAAAAAATTCAAAAAAAATGAAAAATAGTTTAACTAATGCAAAAACTACAAAAAATATTTATTTTAATCTAAGGAATTTGAAGATTATAAAAGTGCTTTTTACTTTAATATTTTTATTATTTCAAATATATAAGCAAACATTTACGCTTATAAACGACATCAATTTCTCAATGGGACGGAATTGTGTGCAAATTGATGAATTCAAGCTTTTTGGTATGAATTTGATGTCACTCTTCTTAGAATAATGACAAGAGGCGAGATTAGGCTAGAACCAACAAGGAACATTGTTACTTCAATAAAATTCCAAAAGTCTAGCTTGCAAGTATTCTTTGATGTAAACATTCAAGTTTAAAATTGACGATGTGACAAAAGCTCGAGATTTTAAACTGCAGCTGCATATTGCTTGACAAATTTTAATCTTTAAAATACTCTGAAACTTTATATCCTTTGGCTCGCACTCTGTTTGATAAGCCGGGGTTTTGCGTGAATGATCGTCAAATACTAATTGCAGTTTTCTTATCCTTAAAGCTACTTTTTGACCCAGATCCTTTTGCTTGTTTGATAGATAGAGAGCTCTTGTATTGTTTTATGACAATCCAAACAGTAGTTTTGCCAGATTCAGATGCCTTAGCAATTGAAATTAACCATGTAGAAGAACTTTGTAAATAGTTGTGCAGAATTTTTTTTCGTTTTTCTAAATGTTTCAATGACATTTTAATTAAGAGCAACATATTGATTCGTTTGTTGATGTTTCTAATTAATACCATAATTACTTTATGTAATTACGTAAAAAAAATAATTTAATAATGTGTTAGTGACAAGTTTTAAACGAAATTTATTGTTCCAAATTAAACGATCATATGCTTTAGTTTAATTTTAAAGATATCAATAACTTTGATCATTAAATCGCGCATTAAATATTTATCAGCATAGTATCAGTATAAAAGTATAATATAAAGCAATATGTGCATCACTGTAATGTTTCCATTTATAATTTCCTTTTTTTTTTAATAAAGAATATTAAAAAATTTTATTAAAGACTTAATATTCTTTATTAAAAAAAAAAATTAATTATTTTATTAAAGGATAGTATTTTTTTGAGCACAAAATCGTTAAAATATTCTATTTTATTAATTTTTGACATAACCGTAACTGCTAGAAAAAATTTTTTTCAAAAAATAGAAGTTCAATAAATAATTCATTCAACAAATTAGTTTAACAATAAATGAATTAAGTTTGTCTACAGTAAAAAAATAAACATAAACTCTATTCTGTTAAAAAAAAACACGAGAGCCGTATTTCTAGACACATATAAATGTTGATTGAAAGTCATTTTAAAATTCTTTTGAAACCGTCAGACTTTTTTCACTTTTTTTTTTTTTCACTTTTTGTTTAATTTTCACCTTGATTGTTCAAGTTTTTCATCAAAATGAGATTTAAAACTTTGTCCCACAAAAAAAATTATAAAGTAATAAATAAATATCTTTGCAAAACTTTTTTATTTTATGCAAATTTGCACTGTAAATAACAGTTCGTGAGATACCTTTGTTTTATAACATGTTGATAAAAATATAAACAAATTTTGTTATTTATTTTGAAATATAGTGTTTCTAAAATACAAAATCAAAATACCAAACTCAGCAAAAACACACAAAATCTGCATAAGAACTGTTTGCATGCCTCGTGATTAAACAAGTTCTACAAAAGGATGTTAACTTTAAAGATAATTGAGTTTTTTGACAATATGTGACAACTGAAGAAAGAGGACAAACTCTGTTCCTCAGCTTTTCAATTTTGAATCAATTTCAATAAGGCCACTAACAAGACTGACTGCAGCATGTGACTGCTTAGTTTGTTAAATTGGCAAACAGAAGTGGTATGAAAAACATCCTTTGAGCAACTCCAAGAGTATGGCAGCTGAGCCTGATGATGATAATGCGTTGTGTCAAATGCTTGTCAGTTTTTAGTATGGGCCTTCATCATGCACTCTTGGAATTTACCATAAAAATTTGAGGATGGTAGCTAAATCTGATTCCATTGAATCAGATTTAGCTTCCATTTTGCATTAAAACTGAGTAAGTAGCATAAACAGATTCTGCTCTAAATGGAACATTTAACTTTGAGAGGAAAACCTATCCAATTAAGAAGAGATAAATTTGATAACTATGGCATTAAAAGGTTTTGTTTAATATAGGCTATTGTTTAAAAGTTGGTATTTTTTCAACAGAGTCTTCAGCTCCACAACAACTGTTCAAGGAACCTCTGAAAATGCAAAATATGTTGCGAATTCTGAAAAACACAGGTCTTTCAAACAACAGGATGAGGAAG